ATATAGATAGATATAGATCGATATAGATCGATATAGATAGATATAGATGGATATAGATCGATATAGATCGATATAGATAGATATAGATAGATATAGATCGATATAGATCGATATGGATAGATATAGATAGATATAGATAGATATAGATAGATATAGATAGATATAGATAGATATAGATCGATATAGATCGATATGGATAGATATAGATAGATATAGATCGATATAGATCGATATAGATAGATATAGATAGATATACATAGATATAGATAGACATAGATAGACATAGAAAGATATAGATAGATATAGATAGATATAGATAGATATCGATGGATATAGATCGATATAGATAGATATAGATAGATAGATATAGATAGATATAGATAGATATAGATAGATATAGATAGATATAGATAGATATAGATAGATATAGATAGACATAGATAGACATAGATAGATATAGATAGATATAGATCGATATAGATAGATATAGATAGATATAGATAGGTATAGATAGATATAGATAGATATAGATAGATATAGATAGATATAGATAGATATAGATAGATATAGATAGATATAGACTTGATATAGATAGATATAGATAGATACAGATAGATATAGATAGGTTTAGATAGATATAGATAGATATAGATAGATATAGATAGATATAGATAGATATAGATAGATATAGATAGATATAGATAGATATAGATAGATATAGATAGATATAGATAGATAGATAGATAGATGGATAGATGGATAGATGGACAGACAGACAGAAGATAGGTAGCTAGATAGATAGGTAGCTAGATAGACAGATAGACAGATAGACAGATAGACAGATAGACAGATAGACAGATAGACAGATAGACAGATAGGCAGATAGGCAGATAGATAGATAGATAGATAGATAGATAGGTTGATAGATTGATAGATTGATAGATAAATAGATAGATAGACAGACAGACAGATAGATATATTCTAGCTACCTAGATAGATAGATAGATAGATAGGTAGGTAGGTAGATAGGTAGACAAACAGACAGACAGACAGACAAACAGATAGATAGATAGATAGATAGATAGATTAGGTAGCTAGATAGACAGATAGACAGATAGATAGATAAAAATAGATAGATATAGATAGAGATAGATAGAGATAGATAGAGATAGATAGAGATAGATAGAGATAGATGGAGCTAGATAGATAGAGCTAGATAGATAGAGCTAGATAGATAGAGCTAGATAGATAGAGCTAGATAGATAGAGCTAGATAGATAGAGCTAGATAGATAGAGCTAGATAGATAGAGCTAGATAGATAGAGCCAGATAGATAGAGCTAGATAGATAGATAGAGAGAGATAGATAGATAGATAGATAGATAGATAGATAGATAGATAGATAGAGCTAGATAGAGCTAGATAGATAGAGCTAGATAGATAGAGCTAGATAGAGCTAGATAGATAGAGCTAGATAGAAAGAGCTAGATGGATAGAGCTAGATAGATAGAGCTAGATAGATAGAGCTAGATAGATAGAGCTAGATAGATAGAGCTAGATAGATAGAGCTAGATAGATAGAGCTAGATAGATAGAGCTAGATAGATAGAGCTAGATAGATAGAGCTAGATAGATAGAGCTAGATAGATGCAGCTAGATAGATACAGCTAGATAGATGCAGCTAGATAGATAGAGCTGGATAGAGCAAGTGGAATAGTGTTGGCTAGATTATCTTACTAGATGATACTACGTGAGATTATACAGACTAATATATAGACCACTATCGATTCTATAGTTTGCATAGATGAGATTGGATGAGAAAGATCGATGATGTGCAAAGATACACACGCAATCACACAGACATCAAACTACAGATGAAGCGTTGAAAGATCCAGCAAACTTGGAGTTCCTTTCAATCCCCCAAAACGAAAGGATTGAAAAACCTTACTCATAAAACGATGGGCGGTTGGACATTGTCGCAAAGCAATCCTGGACGCCTCATGAACTCATAAACCATCCAAGAAATCAAGAAATATCAGCTGTAACTGTAAGCAAGATGTATCTATATTCAATGCTTTGCAACTAGCACATGTCTTCTCTTGGCGTCAGAACACCATCGGCAGTACCCGCCTGTTTCCCAATTTGACATCCAAATGCCTGCCACACTTACAGCATATATAGAGAGCAGTGTGATGATAGAGTAACAGTATAATGTGGTCCAGCAAGGCAAAAGCATGGGAGAGCAACGGACTAGTACGTATATACAAACTTCTAAAACAGGTGCGATTGCCTGAAAAGGCCTACACGTGCTTCTTGTCGTTGTCATGAAATCTATCTACAAGTACTGGTATTATGAAACCTGGGTATTTCTTGGTAGCAGACATGGTCATGCAGGTGGGTTGCCAAAAAGATCAAACAGATTCAAACAGTGATTTCACGCTGACATGGAATGATCATACACCAGAATTCTCTATCCCAAATCCGCCGCAGCCATCGACTCCCGCAGGGACCTACGGCCACTGGTGTGTAGTACTTGGAACTGTTGGCCCCATAGAAGTCGAAGCGACGGCCTGATGCTAGCGGTTCCAAAACCTCTGGTTGCGCATGCTGCTCAAAAATGTACACAAAATCAATCACGGCAATGGTATCCGCCTGCCGGTTGTCCCACAACACGGACTGGCTGTGCATTGAAGGAGCTTGGAGACCAGCGGCAAACCTTTCGTCAAGCTGTGAGTTCACTTTCATGTTTGACATCTGGAATGTTTCAAGACAAGGTCTTCCTGCATAACCATGATTGATCATCCGTTTCTTGCGACTGTCGGCCTCGTAGCAACGTTCGAAGCGTTTGAAGGGGGGCTCCTGCGACTGCCGACATCACCCATCTGCATGGAAGTGCATCTTGAGGTAAAAGAAGTTTTATCCTTGATGGTTTCTGGACATGAGATAAAGTCCATATTGAATACTCTTCCCTCCACACGTGATAAGAAGATGTAAGATGATGTAAGAATGTGAAGGGAAATTGATGTGCATTGAAGCGTTTAGGCTGAAGCCCGGGTCTTGAATCATTGCAAGAGCATTGTTTCCAGCATTGTTTGGCCATGGCATGCTGCCATAGCCTGCCCAAGGCCTCGAATGGGAGAGGATTCTTAAACTTTGCATCCGCGTAGAAGAGCTGCTGCAATGGATAGCGAAAACGTTGGACCTGGAGATCAGTGGTGTAAACACAAAAGGCGTGTTGCGCACCAATTGGGTTCGATCTGGGCACAGTATGTCTGCCTGTAATCTTTGAGAGCGGCACGCGGCCCACGATGAGCGAAATGGCTGTCGGAATGTACCATGAAGGATACCTCGGACGGTTTTCTGTGCTACTGGGCCGACAACCTTGACCAAACATGAAAGATTTAAGCACCTGGAAATGTCGTCATCTCTGTTCTCAATCGATGTTTTACAGCTAGGGCCTATTTTTGGCACACAAGATCCCTCGCCAACTTCATAGCAAATTGGGAACATGCACCGAAACGCTTCCCAATCGAAACCCCAACCCAAAAGCCTTGCAATGTTTTGTGCCCGAGAAGAATTTGTGGGCACTTGTGCACCAAATCTTAATGGACACAGATGTCAGTTCCAAAGCACCCGATGGCACAAACGCAAATGATATGGTCCTTTGCCTGCCAGTGGATTTGGCAAAAGATCCACAAGTAAATCCAAATAGTGTATGCAACTGTGGAAAACCACAGAAATCAGTCAGAGGCTGACATGCAAACTGTGTTGATCAAATGCGTCCCAGAGCTTGAGATCATCAAAAGTCTCGGAAACTCAACAGTTCATCTTAAGCCATCCCATTTCATGAACACACAGGACCTGAGTTAAAACAAAAGCACGGTTTGGTCACAAGAAAAAAGATGAAAAAAGATGGCTTTGATTCTTGACCATACTCAACACATCTACAATATAGCGTTGGTTCCCGCACGATCACATCTCCCGGCGAAACGCCTCATCGAATCGGCTACCCATCTTGGTAACGATGCTCTTGTGGTCTGCGCCCGGACCAATCCAGCACGTTGCGAGACCCATACGGGTAGCATGCCTTGAACAAAGAGGAGATCCATCAAACCAGTCATGTCAAGTGGCTATATGAACCGCCTTGAAATGATTATGAGGCCTACACAGCGAGACTACAAAAGGCGATCTGTGTTTCAGGTTACACCGTTGTAGCCAATACATCCACTCATGGACGCTGATGACAAACGTATTGGATCTCAAGGCCAAAAATTCGTGGACCATTTGTGGATCACTGGGTCCAGGTGCAATACCACCTTTTGCAGACTTCTTCCCACGTCCAGGATAGCAGTTCTGTCATACTCTTTGGGAGCGATGGCCACCAGAAACTCGTGACCTCGGCTTGCATTTCAAAACATTCAAAACATCGCGTCTAGAGAATGAATGATAGTGATATATATATATATATATATATAAGTGTGTCTAAATTTACAGGGATGTCCGCCCTTGAGCATGGGCGCAAGCTGTCTAGGTCTCCACACAGCCCACCACAGGCCACACTCTGAGAGGTTCCCGAATGTACTCCAGGCGAATGGGTTTGGAGCCTCGCAGAAAGCAGCTATCACAGCTATCAGGAGGAAGTGTTGGCAGGTGAAACTGATATCCCCAACATTTACAGCGCAATCATTGCCCAACTTCATGACACCCGAATATGTCGTCTGTAAGGAGTGACACCTTGGCAGTCTATCGGTGCTGCAAACATAAAGAATTCCCAGATCTGCCAAGTATCCAAGCAGTTTTTTCGGATCGGTCCAGACCTCCCAATGCGCAAAATCCGGCTACAATCAAGTTTCTGCAGCAAATAGCGGCTTTCCGTGGTTCTAAGCTCTCCTAGGATTCAGGACGCGTTAAAGCTTCCAATATATAATATAATATTATATTGATTTCCCAACCCAGACTTGGAGTATATATTTACTGTGTATCTATATATCCGCCGACCCCTGCCGACAGCAGGGGGAGCGCGTCAGAGAAGAGATTACAAGCAACAAGTGTTGTGTTTTGAGGCAGTTCAGAAAGCAACGTTTGGCACGATGGGCTGCCGGCCGCGTTCACTGCCATGGTGTTTGACGCCTGCGGCACGGTCCTTGGACCCGAGCTGACGGCAGGAAAAAGCAAGGGTTGAAGCTATAGTTTGTAGGCAGTTCAGAAAGCAACGTTTGGCACGATGGGCTGCCGGCCGCGGGCCCGATCCGTCCTTCACTGCCATGGTGTTTGAGGCCTGCGGCACGGTCCTTGGACCCGAGCTGACGGCAGGAAAAAGCAAGGGTTGAAGGTATAGTTTCTAGGCAGTTCAGAAAGCAACGTTTGGCACGATGGGCTGCCGGCCGCGGCCGCGCGCCGTCCTTCACTGCCATGGTGTTTGAGGCCTGCGGCACGGTCCTTGGACCCGAGCTGACGGCAGGAAAAAGCAAGGGTTGATGCTAGTTTCTAGGCAGTTCAGAAAGCAACGTTTGGCACGATGGGCTGCCGTACTGCCATGGTGTTTGAAGCCTGCGGCACGGTCCTTGGACCCGAGCTGACGGCAGGAAAAAGCAAGGGTTGAAGCTAGTTTCTATTTCCCGGCCGCGGGCCCGCTCCGTCCTTCACTGCCATGGTGTTTGAGGCCTGCGGCACGGTCCTTGGACCCGAGCTGACGGCAAGGAAAAAGCAAGGGTTGTTGAAGCTAGTGGCACGATGTGTTGCCGGCCGCGGGCCCGATCCGTCCTTCACTGCCATGGTGTTTTAGCCCTGCGACAGGGTCCTTGGACTCCAGCTTGGACCGAAGCTGTGCAGAACAAAAGCCAGCTTCAGGAGGACACGAGCAGGGTGGCAGTTGGCAGTCAGACAACGCAGGCAAGCCCTGCGACAGGGTGCTTGGACTCCAGCTTGGACCGAAGCTGTGCAGAACGAAAGCCAGCTCCAGGAGGACACGAGCAGGGCAGTTGGCAGTGCAGAAACGGAGAGAAAGTCAAGGTTTGGAGCTAGTTTCTAGTCGGTTCAGAAAGTGACGTTTGGCAGTCTGGGCTACGGGCCGCGGGCCCAATCCGTCCTTCACTGCCATGGTGTTTTAGCCCTGCGACAGGGTCCTTGGACTTGGACCGAAGCTGTGTAGAACGAAAGCCAGCTCCAGGAGGACACGAGCAGGGTGGCAGTTGGCAGTGCAGAAACGGAGGTAAAGCCAAGGTTTGGAGCTGGTTTCTAGTCGGTTCAGAAAGTGACGTTTGGCAGTCTGGGCTACGGGCCGCGGGCCCAATCCGTCCTTCACTGCCATGGTGTTTTAGCCCTGCGACAGGGTCCTTGGACTCCAGCTTGGACCGAAGCTGTGCAGAACGAAAGCCAGCTCCAGGAGGACACGAGCAGGGTGGCAGTTGGCAATGCACAAGTCAAGGTTTGGAGCTGTAGTTTCTAGTTGGTTCAGAAAGTGACGTTTGGCAGTCTGGGCTACGGGCCGCGGGCCCAATCCGTCCTTCACTGCCATGGTGTTTTAGCCCTGCGACAGGCTCCTTGGACTCCAGGTTGGACCGAAGCTGCGCAGAACGAAAGCCAGCTCCAGGAGGACACGAGCAAGGTGGCAGTTGGCAGTGCAGAAACGTAGGTAAAGTCAAGGTTTGAAGCTAGTTTCTGGTCGGTTCAGAAAGTGACGTTTGGCAGTCTGGCCTACGGGCCGCGGGCCCAATCCGTCCTTCACTGCCATGGTGTTTTGGCCCTGCGACAGGGTCCTTGGACTCCAGCTTGGACCGAAGCTGTGCAGAACAAAAGCAAGCTCCAGGAGGACACGGGCAGGGTGGCAGTTCGCAGTCAGACAACGCAGGCAAGCCCTGCGACAGGGTGCTTGGACTCCAGCTTGGACCGAAGCTGTGCAGAACGAAAGCCAGCTCCAGGAGGACACGAGCAGGGTGGCAGTTGGCAATGCACAAGTCAAGGTTTGGAGCTAGTTTCTAGTTGGTTCAGAAAGTGACGTTTGGCAGTCTGGGCTACGGGCCGCGGGCCCAATCCGTCCTTCACTGCCATGGTGTTTTAGCCCTGCGACAGGGTCCTTGGACTCCAGGTTGGACCGAAGCTGCGCAGAACGAAAGCCAGCTCCAGGAGGACACGAGCAAGGTGGCAGTTGGCAGTGCAGAAACGTAGGTAAAGTCAAGGTTTGGAGCTAGTTTCTAGTCAGTTCAGAAAGTGACGTTTGGCAGTCTGGGCTACTTGCCGCGGGCCCAATCCGTCGTTCACTGCCATGGTGTTTTAGCCCTGCGACAGGGTCCTTGGACTCCAGCTTGGACCGAAGCTGTGCAGAACGAAAGCCAGCTCCAGGAGGACACGAGCAGGGCAGTTGGCAGTGCAGAAACGGAGAGAAAGTCAAGGTTTGGAGCTAGTTTCTAGTCGGTTCAGAAAGTGACGTTTGGCAGTCTGGGCTACGGGCCGCGGGCCCAATCCGTCCTTCACTGCCATGGTGTTTTAGCCCTGCGACAGGGTCCTTGGACTTGGACCGAAGCTGTGTAGAACGAAAGCCAGCTCCAGGAGGACACGAGCAGGGTGGCAGTTGGCAGTGCAGAAACGGAGGTAAAGCCAAGGTTTGGAGCTGGTTTCTAGTCGGTTCAGAAAGTGACGTTTGGCAGTCTGGGCTACGGGCCGCGGGCCCAATCCGTCCTTCACTGCCATGGTGTTTTAGCCCTGCGACAGGGTCCTTGGACTCCAGCTTGGACCGAAGCTGTGCAGAACGAAAGCCAGCTCCAGGAGGACACGAGGACGGTCGCAGTTGGCAATGCACAAAAGTCAAGGTTTGGAGCTGTAGTTTCTAGTCGGTTCAGAAAGTGACGTTTGGCAGTCTGGGCTACGGGCCGCGGGCCCAATCCGTCCTTCACTGCCATGGTGTTTTAGCCCTGCGACAGGGTCCTTGGACTCCAGCTTGGACCGAAGCTGTGCAGAACGAAGGCCAGCTCCGGGAGGACACGAGCAGGGTGGCAGTTGGCAGTGCAGAAACGCAGGTAAAGTCAAAGTTTGGAGCTAGTTTCTAGTCGGTTCAGAAAGCAACGTTTGGCACTCTGGGCTACGGGCCGCGGGCCCAATCCGTCCTTCACTGCCAGGGTGTTTTAGTCCTGCGAAAGGGTCCTTGGACTCCAGCTTGGACCGAAGCTGTGCAGAACGAAAGCCAGCTCCGGGAGGACACGAGCAGGGTGGCAGTTGGCAGTGCAGAAACGCAGGAAAAGTCAAGGTTTGGAGCTAGCTTCTAGTCGGTTCAGAAAGTGACGTTTGGCAGTCTGGGATACGGGCCGCGGGCCCAATCCGTCCTTCACTGCCATGGTGTTTTAGCCCTGCGACACGGTCCTTGGACTCAAGCTTGGACCGAAGCGGTGCAGAACGAAAGCCGGCTCCAGGAGGACACGAGCAGGGTGGCAGTTGGCAGTGCAGAAACGCAGGTAAAGACAAGGTTTGGAGCTAGTTTCTAGTCGGTTCAGAAAGTAACGTTTGGCAGTCTGGGCTACGGGCCGCGGGCCCAATCCGTCCTTCAGTGCCATGGTGTTTTAGCCCTGCGACAGGGTCCTTGGACTCCAGCTTGGACCGAAGCTGGTGCAGAACGAAAGCCAGCTCCAGGAGGACACGAGCAGGGTGGCAGTTGGCAGTGCAGAAACGCAGGTAAAGTCAAGGTTTGGAGCTAGTTTCTAGTCGGTTCAGAAAGTGACGTTTGGCAGTCTGGCCTACGGGCCGCGGGCCCAATCCGTCCTTCACTGCCATGGTGTTTTGGCCCTGCCACAGGGTCCTTGGACTCCAGCTTGGACCGAAGCTGTGCAGAACGAAAGCCAGCTCCAGGAGGACACCGACTTTTTCACGTTACCCCAGGCGGCATCGAGTGATGTTAGGAATAGGAAAAGAATGAAAGAGAGTCTCACTCTAGGAACCGGCGTGCATCGTTACTTTCCATGAAAGCTTGCTTTGCTGGGGCATCTGGCGAAGCATTGAAATAGAAGGCCCGCCTCAGAAGAAGCAAATCTGTTTGTCATGAGGCAGTCTCAATCAGTCTCAAGCAAGGCCATGACCCTTTTGCATCCACGCACAGCTTCCATCCAGATAGCATCGCAACATCTCTCAGCTCCTGCAAAGGGGCAAACTACACGGAAAAGTTGTGTATGATGCCACTTCATGCTTTGTATTCTCGCACATTGAAAACAACTTTCCAGGAGTGACTCCAGCCATGCGAATCAAACGACATCTCAGGCCTAAAAGTCCATCATCACAACGGACCCGGCCAAGGACAGGCATGTTCGACGGCGACGTGCATCTCGATCTACTATCTTGCATCTATATTGCATCTATCTTGCATAGGCTTGCTAGTTTGAAGATGTTTGAAGATGTATAATTACACCATGATGTAACGACCCTATCGATGTGCAACCTCGGGTAATGACACTGGGGATGACTCTACAAGTAGGATGATCAAATGGTTTCTTTGATATGGTGCTTGTGTCTAGTGTACAAATGCATTGAGAGTTTCTATGATTTCGATTGCCCTGTGCTCTTTGAATGTTCATCTTTCGAATTGCTGATCTTCTGATTCCGTTCAAATTCCATGAATGTCTGGAGGCCATGCTGGCGACGTCTACTCCTGCAAGCTTGGGCCATCAACGATCTAAGTGCGACTTTGACTGAGCTTCGGCCGCCATCACTGTGGAAAATGTTCACTGCAGGAAGGGTTCCAAACTCACTCTCTCCCAGGGGTCGGCGGCAGGGGGCGTAGCCCCTTAATATATATATATAAGATGACTGATGACTATAGTGACTATAGTGTCTGTCTATGTATGTCTATGTGTACTAGACATGAAACTAATGTTTGAATGCATTCGCTTTACTAAGTGGCCTGCGGCTTAGAAGAACCTTCAAGAAGCCAACTACTTGTCCAAGTGCGCATGAAGCAGGGCCCTGGCCTTCCCGGACCTCAATTGGGGATGGGTTCAATCTCAACCACTATGGGGCGATAAACCCATCTTACCATCATTTTCCAGGGGCTCACCAGACCCGTAGCAACCCAATATCTGTGAAGCCCACGCCTTGACAACGTCGAAGATCTCGCCGCGGTGCTTGGGGGTGAGATCCCGCCACTGGGCAGAGTCATTGCAATGCATGGCGGGACATTCTGTCAACAGAGTCTATTCAGGAAAGTTTGCTGTTATTGGGGAATGTGGCAATGAAATCATTTCTACTGATGTTCAACAATGGCACGAACATTATTTTGGTACATGACAGCGTGGTAGTTTAGCAGCGAGTGATACGAATGGACTGATCTGTCAGTCTGGTAATGTCTGGTACAGCTTCAGCTGGGGGTGGCATTTTCGAATAGAGCAGGCCGCCAAAAAGTGCACGGGACTGTCGTAATTTGCACATTTTGGGCCCAAAATCGTCCAAATGCACCGTTTCGGTCCGACATGGCCGCAACATTGGCTCCACTTGGGGTCAACTTCGGCCAACAAGGCCCCCTTCAACTTCGGCCCAACTTCGGTCCAAGATGGCGCAACTTGGCCCCAACTTCGGCCCAAGTTGAGGTCCAAAACGAGGAACATAGCCAGTGTCTCCGTTGGGCCCAACTTGGTGTGAAGCTGCCGCCAAAGGGTCGCAAATTGCGTCACTTTGGGCCAAGGACGGCCAAGTTTGACCCCAGTCGGCTTTGTTGGACCAAGTAGGCCCCCTTCTTTCCTCTCTGTCCTATCCCCTGGGTGCGGGCGGGTCTCGTCGCGAAGCGACTCGAATAATTTTGACTGATCCTGACAATGGTCCATGCGTTGGATGACCCATGTTCATACAGTCCAATGACGGAACTAAGTTGAACTACAGTTATCATCGTTTTGTATCAAATCATATCAATCTTATCCGAAAATCCATCTTCAATCTGATTGCCCTTGATGCGCTAAGACTACATTTTGACCCAAGCTTCCAGTGCAGCCAAACCTCACCACTTTGCCTGGAACGAACGACAGGATTTCCGTGAGAGCATGAGGTCAAACTCATCCAAGTGATCCCTGCCTCAACGCTTCAACGAAGGAGCCATGCATAGCTTTGACCAGTTAAACCCGCACCATTTCCCAGGGAGATAGGATTTGGTACCTGGTTACTTGGATGGCACTGACCAGGTCTAAGGTGGGTGTTTGGATCCGACTTGGATCGCTATATGTGTTGGGTGTATACAAGATGTCTAATAAGTAAATGTGCAATACGCATATATATGTAATATGATGTATATGTAGCTTTACATGGAGTACAAGTTCGCAAACTCGGCAAAACGATGCGCAAAGACGCAAAGATGTTGATAATGTCCCCCCCCACACCCCAGTGGTTCCAATGTGATGCCCATGCTTTCTGCCGTGGCACGTGGTGGGATTGCTTCCTCTGGCCGGCAGTTCAACTTCACCGTAATGAGATCCTACCAGGCATTCCAGAAAAATCATGAAAGAAATGGGTCCATTTTGATGAATGGGCCCATGGTCCCCCATGGTCCGCAAGGTTTACACTCCAAAAGGTCAGCATTGGTGGCAGAAAGCTTCCAAAGCACCCATATAGTCCCTCGATAGAGCTAGCATTGCTAGAAGAACAGGAGGGCACATCATACTGTGGCTAAATGTTGTATGCGTGGAATGTTGCCTAATGTTCGGGTTTCATCCAGCGACGTTCCAGCGGGGCAACTTTCCAGTAAGGTTGAATCACAAGTGTCAAACTGAATCATACTCAGGCCAAAATGGTTCTCTGAACTGACCCGAACTGCAAATGAGACTTGTATCTAGAATTTCTGAATGAGGAGGATATATCCATATAGCATGAATTAAGGTCAGAAAATTTACAGTCCATGGCACATCAATGGAATGTGCGCTTCACCCTCCACATCAGTTCGCACCAAGTGGTCACTGTGAAATGACGAGGATCAAAGCACAATGTGAAGAGCGCAACTGCAAACAGTGCATCCTGAGACTGTGAAAAACACAGGGCTGATCTGTCGAGTGTGTTCTCTCAATGTATTTGTGAGCATCGAGTGCTGACCATTGGATGATGGTGAAGGATAGTGAAAAGTGGTTACGTTGCGGCTCTTTGTCGATTGTGCAAGCCCAGTGGCAAAGACCAGCAGCGTGTTGGGGAAGTGAAGCCATTTGAAGAGGAGGATGAAGAAACCAAGAAGCAGCACCAGCATCATATTGGGAACATACCTTGGCTACCATGATGAACAGCCCAGAAAGCCCTTCACACAAAAAACATCTGGAAACGAGGAAACATTGAACAGCAACATGAAATCATATGAAATCATAACAAGCAACACTGACACATGTTCAACATACTTACATATGACAATAAAAATATATAAAACCCTGGCGGTCAACGGCCACTACGGGTTGCTGCAGCCATCCACTCCACTGGAGGTAAACCTTTATTCGCCAGGCCAGGGATTCCGCCATGACGCGCAGTGACGGAAATTCACTGCATGCGACTGGCCAAACGCTGCAGGATGCGCACGTTTAACGTATCTCAAGGATGTCGAAGCATATCGTGGCATCGCAGCAGTGATCTGACTCAAACAGGGACGTATGATGACGTATGTAGTGAACATCATGCAGGACCCTTTAGAACCTCCAGTACTGTACCTTGCCTGACTGTTCTGGCCGTGCTTCTTCCCACGCTTCCTCTCCCTGGATCTGGGGATATTAATAGAGACTACGTATCTTCCAATGGCATAAGGAAGAGGGCTTCCTAAGGGGCCAAACTTCCGTAGCGTTCTGCTATGTACTGCCATGAGTTGATGACTTCTGTGAGAATCTGCACACAGGGAGAACATGAAAGAGTTAATTCATCATGTTAATATTGTTAATTCAATAATTATCACATCATATCACGTCGGAGACACAAATCTGAGCGGGGCAAGTCACTCCAGGAACCTTCGCTGATTTTTCAGGAATAAGGGCGACCATTGACCCACAAAGTTGCCTTTTGCATATTTCAAATATTTCAAATATGCAATCATCATAAATTATCCATATCATCCGTTTTCGGGGGTCCAATCATTCCCCACATTGACGTGTGGGGTTTTTGTTTTTAGTTCTGTATCCGCGCCTCTTCCTCCTCCCGTCCTCCTCCCCGTCCTCACTCACTCACTCACTCACTCACTCACATACATCACTCACTCACACCATTCACTCACTCACTCACACACTCACATCACTCACTCATTCACTCACTCCACTGCCAGGGGGTCGGATATACGCCGTGGCATCCCTCGGGCTCCGCCTCTTTTGCGTGGCAGGCGTGGGACAATGTGCGCTGCCAAGGGGTCGGATGTACGCCCTTTTGCGTGGCAGGCGTGGGACAATGTGCACTGCCAAGGTTGCGTGGCAAGCGTGGGACAATGTGCGCTGCCAAGGGGTCGGATGTACGCTCTGGCGTCCCTCGGGCTCCGCCTCTTTTGCGTGGCAAGCGTGGGACAATGTGCGCTGCCAAGGGGTCGGATGTACGCCCTTTTGCGTGGCAAGCGTGGGACAATGTGCACTGCCAAGGTTGCGTGGCAAGCGTGGGACAATGTGCAGTGCCAAGGGGTCGGATGTACGCCCTGGCGTCCCTCGGGCTCCGCCTCTTTTGCGTGGTAGGCGTGGGACAATGTGCACTGCCAAGGGGTCGGATGTACGCCCTGGCGTCCCTCGGGCTCCGCCTCTTTTGCGTGGCAGGCGTGGGACAATGTGCACTGCCAAGGGGTCGGATGTACGCCCTGGCGTCCCTCGGGCTCCGCCTCTTTTGCGTGGCAGGCGTGGGACAATGTGCACTGCCAAGGGGTCGGATGTACGCCCTGGCGTCCCTCGGGCTCCGCCTCTTTTGCGTGGCAGGCGTGGGACACTGTGCACTGCCAAGGGGTCGGATGCACGCCCTGGCGTCCCTCGGGCTCCGCCTCTTTTGCGTGGCAGGCGTGGGACAATGTGCACTGCCAAGGGGTCGGATGTACGCCCTCACTCACTCAATCACTCACTCACACTCAGTCACCCTCACACCCTCACTCCCTCACACCCTCACTCCCTCACTCCCTCACTCCCTCACTCACTCACTCACTGAGACTCACTCACTCACTCATTGACACTCACTCACTCACTCACTCACTCACTCACTCACTCATTGACACTCACTCACTCACTCACTCACCGACTCACTCACCCACCCACCCACTCACTCACTCACTCACCCACCCACTGACTCACTCACTCACTCACTTATTGACACACACTCACTCATCACTCACTGACTCACTCACATTCTCATTCACTAACCTGTGCATGCACATACATCTGGGCAATTTAGCAAAAATCTTACCTCGTCATCTCGTGCTTAAATCGTGAAACCGGAACATTTAGTGATCTCGTTAAATGAGCATTTTATGCTTAACCCCTGGTCGAACACAGCCCAGCTTTGCCTTGCAGATACAGTTCTTTCATCCAATTCAAGCCTCACGCCTTCTCTTTGGCGGGGACAAGTCTTCCAAAATGCTTGGCGGGGACAAGTCTTCCAAAGGCTCGAGGAGAGGGAGAAGGGAAAAAACTTTTCTAGGGGAGAAAAGTTTTTTTTTGGCTTGGACCAAATGGCAAGTGGAAAAAAAAACTTTTTAGGCTGCGAAATCTTTATTTTCTCTCCCCGGCATTCAACGTTCCAGACTAGGAAAAGTTGTTCTTCTCGAAACAAGAGTCTGCATTTCCTCTTGAGAACGGGAAGCAACAACCACAAGCATGGCCAACAGCTACAGGAAAATGAGCTTTCAGCAAAATTGTTGCAGAATCACAGCTTGCCAAAAAAAACTTTTTAACTCCAGAAAAGTTTTTTCCATGTCCCTTGCCATGGAAACGGTGTCTGAGCACCCACCTCGTCTGACTGAATTTAGTTAAACCACCTCGTTAAAACCAAAAGGCTACCTCGCACCTCGGCTGTCCTCGCTATAAATTGCACAGATACATACACACACACTCACCCACCATCACCCCTCCATCACTCTTATACAGTACTTCCTCTTCCCTTCTTGCTTTTCTATGCTCAGTCTAAGTCTAGAGAAGTTGGTAACATGTGGGGTTATCCGGTCCTATAATTTTGACGCACAGCCATGATGCTCCAAACCCCTCAGACGTGATCAAACAGCTCCCACCGGACCAAGTCAGCTGAGACGGGCACTCAGGCATGATGAAAGGGACGAGGGGTGGCTTGGCCTGCAAGAAATGGGAAAATGGTGAATTTCCAACACAGTTGTGACTACATGCGGCTACTATATGCTATTGTAAGACGGAAACGATGAACCAACAAATTTGGGGTATACTATGGTATACTCTATTCTCAAACCAAAATCAGTTCTGTTTCAACTTGTCTCTGGTCTTCAACGCCGGCACTTTACGCACTCAACTGTGACGGTCATGAAAAAACAGGAAAAAGGGAAACTCGTATATGGCCAAAGGTGGGAGCAGCCTGCTAGATTTCCAAACTCAAACTTGGCCATGCGTTGACGAAACTTTTTGATGCCTATTTGATTTGCGTTTCTGGGGGCCCCCAAAAAAAAACACGGCGTTTCATGTCCTTCATGTCTCTGAAGGTTCATGTTTGAACAGTGTAGGTCCATCTGTATCTCGACCTGTCCACCCTGCAGTGGCCTGCAGCTAGCAACAAACACGATCAACTTCAACGCTCGGAGCCCAAGTTGCGGCACCAGTTGTGAGTCTCATTGTTACTGCCCCTCTGATGTTGCTGAAGAGTTCCATGTACATACTTATCCAAATGTGTAGTGAAGAAGGCGCATTTCTGGCAGTTTGGACACAGCTTACCAGGGGCCTTCAGCAAGTGTCAGGCAACGAGGATACGCTGCGACAGTGGGATGGTGTGATCAACACGTCGGTTTTGTCTCGCCTCTGGAGCACATCAAGAGGAAGAACAAAACGGCTTCACCTCTCCTTGACGATTGGTGTGTTTTGAACGCTTTGAACACCTTGACGATTATTTCCTGTCCGCAGAGATTTTCATTTTTGATGCTGACACATCTCTTCACGGCGGCAATGGCGCTGGCACATTGCCCTTTCAAGCACCCAAACCATGAAATAACAGGTTTCAAGCCCAAGAAAGCAGTACTTGAATCGGGTTTCGGAGACAGGTGATAGACAAGCCGCAAGCCCATTTAAAATCCAAGTAGTAGCAGAGATTTGGAGGTGTCTGTGCTTCTTGAATATCACTAATTATTCTTGGGGCAGCAAAAATCATCAAAATTGACAGCTTGAGAATGAGGAAACCCCAGGTACTGCCAGATGCGTATTCTATCGTATTTCAATAAACATCCATAAGGTCGTCAATTCCCAATACTTCAGCTATCTTCAGCTCAAAGCGTTGCTTGCCCAAAGTGACGAATATGTGGGGCCCACTCGGCAACCTTGAAGCTGGGTGAAACATGACTTGCGGAGGTGACAGCAACCACTTCAAATCAGCTTTCGTGAGCCTGTTGCCGAATGCTGCTGAATGCAACCCGAAGCAGTACAGATATCATGTGCTGGATAATGGATGCACCTGTCACATTCGCATCAACCTAAAATCTCAGGTCTTTCACATACGTAACCCTCACAGCTTTGTTGATCATCAGCCACACTTCAGAACCTCATGGTTGTCTGCTTAAAACCTCTCAACACTCGCACCACATCATTGACATCATGATCTCCTCATGATCTCCACACTTGGAGTCACTTGGAGTCACTCCATTCCCATTTCCCCTTTCCATGACCTGCTTGAAGCGCATCTGCATTTTCAGCTTTGATGAGTCCTGGATCGACCAGAATGACACAAAAACGACACAACTGCACCTCGCCGCGAACCCCCGCAGCCCCCGCCATGGAGTCTCCTGTCTGGACAAGGCCTTTGGGTCCAAAACGTTGGGGATGAGCTCTGCACCTTGGGCAAACGAGGCACGGTTTTCGGTGATTCCATAGGGATTCCCTAGGGATTCCAGGCGATGGTGATTCCATAGTGATAATCATGATCATTGATTCTGCACATGGTGATAAATGGTGATAATTTATCACACATACTATTTAATAGTCATCACATGTAATTTTTCCATAATTTGATAATCATGACAATCATGCAGATGGTGATACAGTGATAATCAGTGATACCCTCTGGTAATTTAACATAGCTATGGAAAATCACCATTTTTAATGGGAAAATCCACTATAAATTGCCATTTTCAATAGCTATGTTAGTTTACCAGAGGGTACATGCTTAATTTATGCTGATTACATGTGATTACTGATCTCCCGTGGCTGCCCAGGCGCTCATGGAACTGTGAAAGCCGATGCCAGCACGCTCCAAATTCACCGAGCCAACAAAGCTACCATCCACATTCATGCAGGCCTGCGGGAATAGCAATTTGACGGGTGATTTGAGCCCACGAAGCTACCAATTCACCAAGCTTATGGGCAAAAATATACCCAATAGCCATTATTTATGGTGATAGTATGTTGGTTATCCATGGTTATCCACTATCAATGGGGAATACATCACCAACAATGTGATATGTGGCTCAGAAACAGAGGATGCCTCCAAGTTACGGCCAAATGTGGAATGGCAACGTGCGCGTTGTGTCAGTCAATCTCTCTGAGAGTCCCAGAGATTGTGGTTGGTTAATGAAAAATTGGAGAATGGATAAGATAATGATATATACATATATATATAAAATGTTATATCACTACAGTATCAGTAATTACAGTACTTCCCAATACATTGAGTAGTGCACAATATCTGACATAGCATAACTCCAATAAATAGCCTATAGTCATCAAGCAACTGCGCTTTTTGCAACTGCTCATGTGAAGCCCGAATTCATCCCAGTTCCTTGCCTCCCGCTGATCTTCCTGGCAACAAAAAACTGAGGCTGGGATCTGCCGATCTGTTATGCTTAAAGCATGTCCCAGCATTATTGGGTATTGCTGAGTATTGTTGAGTCTCATTAGCAACAATTCTTGGGTTTTGTCGGTGGTTGTTGAGTCTCACCAACAACAAACTCAGCACCAACTACTATGGACATCTTTGACGAAAATGCTGATGCGCGTTGGCTGTCAGGTGACAGCTGTGTGCTTCATGCGGCAAAATGTCATTCAACATCTGCATGTTCAGAGTCTAAGGTCTAAGGCGCAATTCCTCCACAGTCTACGCTGGCTTCAGAAAGCCATACTGACCTTTTGGCCAACCCCCTATTCTCTTTCAAACTTTCATAATCCTGCATGAAAGAAACCTAGTTCACACTTGTAGTCGCATACTTCATGCGGAAAAATTGGCTTGCTTGGCAAAGGGCAAATCAGTTGTTTTTGCGAAAATGTGACACCAGAAATGCTGCCAGCGATGATTCCGACATGGTTTGTCCAAAACTCGGGTACCCCAATTTTTGATGGTTTATCTGAAAATTTCCCCGTTAAAATTGATATTTGTTAAATTATGGATTTGTAGGTATATACAGTTTATATATATACTGTATATGTTTATATACACCCTAGTAGCACATGTTCAGACAAACCCATTAATATTGTTGGTGAAATAGCATCCCATCACGGGGACATGCCAACGCCTGTGCTGGCATCTCCACACGTTGAGCTTCAACCTCCGCAGCCACACGCTCGGCCTGGGCAGGACGATGGCTGGGCCTGAAATACCAAAAGGGGATCCTCGACATTCAGAATTTAATGATGCCCAATGAATTCCTTGCTATTTTCTTTGTAGTGTTCAAATATGTGTATTATATATATATATGAATATGTACTTATATGATATTAGTTCTGAGCGCCTTACCCGTTCTACTCCAATCCAAAGAACATCAGACCGAGTGGGCCAACTAAATCAGTGACTTGAATCGACACACAACTACCTCAACGATCTTCTCAAACTTGTTGACCAATGTATCGATCGCTGCACCACCTCGGAAAAGGATGGAAAAGGATGGAAAAGGTACAAACAAGTGTGGCCACCAAAAATTTGAAGTTTTGAAAACACAATGGCTCTCACCGACTCTCACCATTTCTCTGAACAAAGTAGGTCACCGCAATCCAGCCGCCTTACGATCTGTCATCCGCTAGGTGTCATGACTGTCACTGTGACGTTTTCGCCGCTCTTCTGCACGGTCCTATGATCAAGTCATTGAGGGGATCAACATGCACAACATTGGTTGTTGCTTAGGATTCTGTCATTCAAGCATCCATTTTGGGAGTGATCAAATTTTGACCTAAGCCATGTTGAACGTGTTGTTCATATTTGTTCATGAAAGAAACTTGGCAGAAACTTCACAGCTCTCCTTGTACTGTTCATTTCTTCTTCTCACCTCAAGTTTGCCATCCTGACAGAACTGACAGATGGGCAACACATCACACACCGTCCATTCATTTTGCAGCCTTGGATTTGCTCAACGAGGCCAACCAAGGCCATTGGTGACCCGAACTCCTCAGACATCTACAAGCCACCATAAAGATAGATACATTGCCACCATTGGCAAACCAAACACAATAGCAATTCCATCTTTTCAGTATTTGGATGTATTTTGCTACGACTGTACAATGGTGTGATGTACGATCCTGTACTCAGTTGATTGTTTTTGACCCTCAGGGAATCTGCGGGGATCGTCTCCCGACCATCATTAGTAAACGGTGGACACAAAGCCTCGTCTGTTCGCTGGAAGACCTTTCTGCGCCATTCAGACTCAGGGTCGTCCTTGCAGTGCAACAAAATGATACAGAGATTGGTGGTTGCGCTGATGTGATAAATATGCAAAAAAGCGTTCTACTTCAATTGATGCTCTATGTATCTCTGTGTCCTAAATTAAATTACTGATGTGGGTTCATGGAGCTCTTGAGAGCAATATCCAGATGTAGCTAGTGCTCTTGGTACAGACTTGGCCCCAAGTCACCTGGCAAAATGAACGCCTCTGCAAGCGCCCTCGCCTCATCATCAGATTCGCCAAAGGGTCTTTTCAAAGACATCTGTCTCATGATGCTTGCATCCAGCGGCGTGTCCTGGGCTGAGCGGAAACCTCACAATCCAGCTGATATGTATCTCCCCACGATTTCTGGATTCCTGTCTTGTTACCAGAAATCTACCCTTCCAGCTGGTTATCGTCCCTTCTACCCAAGATTTACAAAGGATCAGGGTAGAACTGGGTAAGTTCTACAGATCAGGATGCTCAGGTCTAGCGGGGCACCTTTGCCATCTCGCTCAGCTGGATCTTGATCCTCAGGGAATCGCCAAAGACTGGGCATCTACTTTGTGCAGGTAATCAGCATGTGTATGCCTATATGTGTATATATCAATATTTGTTTATTTATATATACACATGCCAAAAAGAGGGAGAGAGAGAGAGAGAGTCTCTGTGTCAATCATACCATACATAATAATGTGGTAAACCCAATTTCCTAAACCATCCCCACAATCATCAGTTTTTGTGGGTGACCATCCCGAAATGGAAACGGTTTATGGGCGCATGCTTAGCTTCCAGGCCTTAGTGGGCCACAAACGATCAGGCCTCAAAGCGCGTTTGAAACGATGGCGACATCAAGCCATGATGCATAGCCAACTGTCCAAGGCTAAATGTCAATGAGTCAAATGGCAGCTGTGGAAGTAAACTAGTGGTCTAATGATGTCTAATGTTACTGTCGTTTGATAAGATGAAAGCCACTGCGCTGAGTATCATTGTTTATACCAAAAAAAACTGGATCGTTGCAAAAAAAAAACATCATGTAGGATTGTCCGGCAATATACGGTATAAGCGTAGCATATCTTCCGAATCGAATTGCCGTATCTATCTCCGTGGAATATGGATATAGATCATCTTAGATCATCTTAGAATTTGATTGATGAGGACATAGTCAGGCGATCAACTATGTGGAGTTTTTTGTGGGATATCCCATGAAAACATAAAAATGAACTACCCGGCCTGGTAAACATAGAAAAAACTATTGAAAATGGCCCAGTCGAATTTTCGTGAATGTTCAGCCAAATTTTCCCAAATTAAACATGGTGATTGTCCATAGTTATGTGAGTTTGTCTGAAAATGTTGGCTTAATCTTCCCAATGAAATAGCCATAAAAAAATAGGGATTTTGTGATCATTATATAACCATTGGGTAAAAAGGGGTTTAGCCTATTTTCACACACACCCATGTTAGGTGACCAGGCCGGGTGGATCAAGCGATGAACCGACCTGGGATATAAACCGAGGAACTGCCCGTCTTCAACGGTCCGACCCATTGGCTGTTCACCTCGTAGCCATCCAGGCTGGTGCCCTGATCGATTCACTGAGATGAAGGCCGTGGGATGAGAATTCCTGGGGACATTTACATCATTAACAATATAGTAATGTTTTATGTATAATGGAGACATTGAGTGATAATTAATATTTGATAATTAATATATGATAATATATGATAATATAAATGATAATATAAATGATAATATGGTGATAATTAGCCATTCACTCACCAATTGTCATTCCATGAAATACTGGTTAAGAACGGGATTCTGGATTAAGAATAATCCCCAATATGTCAAGGGTAGTAAAGTAGCCACCGCCGCCAATCCTCACTCAGCCGGCCTGTATTGAGGTCAACTCATGAACTAACAAGAATTAATAGATATTGGGACTTCCCGACTGTCCTTTTATTCCAAAAAGCAACATGTACAACCTGCACAACTGCCCTTTCAGCAATTCAAACCATTTCGAACAATATTGGAGAAGACAAGTTAAGATCTTCCTGTGCCAACGGCACAGCTCACGGCTCCTCCTGAGATGTCTCCATGTCGCATAGAAAAAATCGATCCTGGCTCAATGTTAGAAATCAACGCGGTCGCACTTGAGTGACCCGAAAAGTCCGGCCCTCAAGAAACTGTGAAGGGGGAAGCCAGGTTCTGGGCAATGGTGGAAGGAAAATGTGTATCAATACTCAATACCAAATCATTCATGCAGTATTCACTTGCTCATTCCACTGCGAGCCTTGCCAGGTTGAGGGCTGGCAATTCTATCCCGCATCAAAGTCGTTCACAAACTGGACTGCTACTTGTACAAAAAGATTGATGTCTGGAAGAACATTCACACAATTCAAGTGTCGGGAAAATTGATCCAAAGAATAGGCAGGCCAAACAATTACAGGCATTGCCAATTGTAGTAGGACCGCAAAGTTCTGTCCACAAAGTCGCGAAAGTCGCGAAGACACAGAGTGCAAAGGGGGGAATCGTCAAGCTCAAATCGCCAGAAGCCTCAATCTTCTGTGGTCATATCAAATATTGGTCTATATTGGTCTATATCGTTTATCCATGTTTATCCCTGAATCAGAGAATGGTTTCAACATGCTCCAGCTGAGTGCACCCGAGACCCGCCTTCTCAGACCGTATCTTGCAATGCGCCTTCGCTGATTCGGCTGATTCTGTGATTCCGTGAGGCATGCAGTTCGGTTCCCTGTCACTGTAAAACTACATTAATTATCCACTCATAGCTATCCAGTCTCATTGAAGGATTCCCTTATTTCGTGAATTTTTATCCAAAATAAAACTGAGTACCCCCAAGAAACAACATCAACAACTAGGTTCCAAGAAACCTGGCTTATCTCAAGTATTGATAGGATTCTATAAACTGGCTCATATCAATGATACCCTAAAAACAACGCCACAAGAAAATTTGAAAACTTAGCGTTTGATTATCATAGATTATCTCATTATCCCAACATATCCCAAGTATTTCTAGGATTTTATCAGATGGAGATCCTCAGCCATCCCCCGCCGTTGAAAGCGCCTGCGCTAGGCGCTCCAGTGGATCATCACGACACAGCGCATCGAGGTCGGGACAACACCTACGGAAGGCGAGTTTCCATGAAGCTGTTTTGTTGATGTTCTAAGAATTTCATATTTTTGGGCATTTCTATTTTCAAATAACTTCATTGGGATTTTCGATGTTCGAAAACATTGGTGTTGAAAACTAAGCCTGATTGCAACCAATAAATTGCATAAGCGGGAAACAATAAACATGCCAACCAATCCTAAAACAATCTAAACTAGCGCTTGGAAAACCTCCAGCTGTTCAGGAAAAAACAAAGATATGGTTGGGGTCAAAAATCGGAATTTGCTGTGGAACATCCACCAAAAGAGACTGAAAACTTAGAGGATTTTGTCTGATACGAAACTGGTTGGAAGTTTCAACCCATCCTACAGTAGCATAGATGCTAAGATGTCTATCATCAACAGCTGTAACTTCGTGCTATGGTCGGGCACACTATGTCCGTGAAAAAAGAATGCGCAAGATTGATCATGATTCATCAACATCTCCGGACAGAGGGTCTGACCTGCCAATGATGGCACCAGTAGATTCCACTCGCAAGGTGCACCTGGCATCTCGAAAGATCTTCGGCTCCGTGAAAACTTGAGGAAATCTCCATAAATCCCAAGGATCATCATCATATTTCCATCATTTTTCCATTTTGTGTGTCTCTTTCAATGGACATTTGGCTTCCGGGTCTCCCCAACGCACTGTTGCCCCAGGGAGGTGGATCTTCCCTTTTCAGCTCGTTGATGAAGTCCTCTAAGGCCTTGAAACGCAAAGGGCCAACGGGTTGCCCTGAGTTCAGTGCAGGGGTTCATATGGTAATACTATAACTGGTTGGTGGTTACAATATGGCAATATAATATGGCCATAAATACTGTATCTGCTGGTTGGTGGTTGACCTACCCCTCTGAAAAATATGAAAGTCAGCTGGGATTATGACATATATGATGTTCCAAACCACCAACCAGATAAGTAATACCATGGAATAGCCAATGACCCAATACATCCCAATACAAAAAAAAAAAACTTTTTATTGGTGTCAACCATCCCCAATATGATTGGGTATCCCACATTAGTTCAAGATGTTTCGATGGTCAACGGGGATTTTTTGATGGAGCTTCTCCAAATTATGCAATAGTTTCAGCCCTGCGATATGTACACATCCTATGTGCACATCCTATGTACATAGATAGGTAGATAGATAGATTCTATAGATTAGAATTAGATTATACTACATTATATAAGATTAGATTAAGATTAGATTAGATTAGACTAGATTACAGTAGATTAGAGTAGGTTGGATTAAACTAGACTAGACTAGATTGGATTAGAGTAGATTCGATAGATAGATAGGTAGATAGATAGATAGATTGATAGATAGATAGATAGATAGATGTCATATATATGTCATACAGAACCATACACATCATATCTTATACAAATTGATTAATTGTTATATGATACACATGATGCGGCGCCTCCGCCACAGATCGTTGATCCTTGGAGCCTCGAAAGTTTTGCAACGCAAAGCACTGACCTCGGGCCACGCGGCCCACTGCTCTCCATTTCCAGTTGATTCGTGGTGAATCTGGGAATCAATGGGGATATAATAGGGGCAACCAGGTTCACCAAGAAAATGTTCCTGTTGCTGCCTTTGAAGTTAGAAGATAAAATGCAGGACGGGACTTGAGAGAGCCAAGACTTCAAACGGGACAGCTAGTTACAGCTAGTTTAGATGTGGTGTCGAGTTTCAATGCGTCTGGCACCAAAGCTCATCAACATGACAGCCCAAAATTGCCACACATTTCGCAGCCTGCAGGAGGTAGCCGCCCAATCTTCTTGGCTTCCTCACAGTGCCGACACGGAAATCTGGTTTTTAAATCGGGCCCAAAAAAGAACTAAATGGGGGATATAGAAATATCTCCGTATATGTGAAATATATTATGTTTATGACATTTATAACTACTAAATATAGAATTCAAGAGCAAACATGACCAAAACATACCAAAACCATCCAAAACCACTGGTCCTTGACGCCTTGAATTTCGGATCGCCCATGTGTGGACAAACTCATATCATCCACTCCACTCATCATTTAGTCATCCCTATTTCCATAAAGTTAAATCCCAATGTGTGACTAAATCTCAATTTAGGTTGTTAGTTGAATCCCCATTTTTGTTCGTTGAATCCTCCTTTTTGGGTTGGTCTCATGTCTAATCCCTATATAATTTTATGGATGTTCCATGATTTTCCATGATAAAAAGCTGACGAAACCATCCCTTCTGTCCTGTGGTCTCAACTCCCAGCGGATGGAAAAGTCCTCTACGGCATCCTCGGCGTTTCGGCAACAGTTCAGCATCAGTGGTATCAAACTGGCTAGTGGATCAACAGCTAGGCATCGATCATCGAAATTTCAAGAAACTGATGATCGATATGTTTCATCGTTTTCAAGCAGTTCCACCCAAAAAAACGAGTTTGCGAGTCACATCAAAATTCTACAAATAGTTCACCTGCTTGTTGGAACATATCAGCGCCTGCAAAAGATCTTTCGGAATCTGCTTGTTTGCCTCGTCAGCAAGATCGCAAAGAAACAAAATGAACCGCCCAAGAGATACCCAAGCTGAAGAGGGATTGATTTTCGGTGATCTCATCTTTGTCTATAGGTTAGTCATGGTTAGTTAATGTCAGGCAGATGAGGCAGAGTCGTTCACACTGCATTCATGCTGGCTGAAACTATACAGCAACCACATGCTTGATAAGCTGACAAGACCAAAGAGTCCGCTTTTCAACTCTTTGTAGACACTACAGTCACAAGACCTTCGCAACTGTGCCGAACCAGAATTCAAAGCTCCTACGTCCTACGTTCCACCTCGTGAGCGACTGTCAAGTTGATGAAAACGTCAATATTGGGCAACTCGCCACTGACGCTGGTCGCCTCCACAAAGCACCATCAGAGTTCTTAAGCTGTACCAGGGGCCGATCCCGAACAGTAAAGTTGGCGCAAAAAAAAACAACTCACAAATCAGTGCAAGACTGAAAATGGGAAAAGTCATGAAACCAAAGTAGAAAGCATGAAGTAAAGTACAAATCTGTGGACAAAGACTAAAATTTACATGAATTGTACCGTACATTTAGTATTGACTCACTTCTTTAAAATTCTTCGTGAGGAGCTGTTCCGTGGTGTTCCCCCTTTGCCTTAACTGACAGCTGTTCAGTGGGGGGGTAAAGTCGAAGGCATGCGTCTATGTGTTTAACGTCCTATGCAAAATATACTACTGATATGTTATGATGGATACCCATGTATAACATTGTTCACTATACATATTCTACTCTATGTACAGTGTATATATACAATTACAGTATCATGCGCTTATATATATATATATATTTATATATAATTATAAATAATTATATATAATTCTATGTAATTATATATAATTATATATAATTATATATATACACATATGGTGTATGTATACATATAAGAATCATATGATTCATATCATTATCTCCCCCCAGTCCAAATGGCCATTCCCAATCGGCTTGGCATCCAGGCCTGCATGCTCGCTGGGTCGGTGGGTGGCAACGGTAAAACCTGGCACCGTGTGGGTTGGTTGATGGATGGGACATATCATCATCCCAAAGGACCGATGTGGGAGGTTTTTGCACAAATGTCAAGATCATATGTATATTATATTACATTACATTACATTATATCATATTACATTACAAAATATTATATTACATTACATTACATTATATTATATTAGATTACATTACATTATTTTATATTACATTACATAATATTATATTACATTACATTACATTATATTAAATTACATTACATTATATTACATTACATTACATTATATTATATTACATTACACTACATTATATTATATTACATTACGTTACATTATATTATATTACATTACATTACATTACATTATTTTATATTACATTACTTAATATTATATTACATTACATTATATTACATTACATTATATTATATTACATTACATTACATTATGTTATATTACATTACATAATATTATATTACATTACATTACATTATATTACATTACATTATGTTATATTACATTACATAATATTATATTACATTACATTACATTATATTACATTACATTATATTATATATTACATTACACTACATTATATTATATTACATTACATTACATTTTATTATATTACATTACATTATATTACATTACATTACGTTATATTATATTATATTACATTATATTACATTACATTACATTATATCATATTATCTTATATCACATTAAATTATATTATATTATAAATCATATTATATTATATTATGTTTTATTATATTATATCATATTATATTGTATGAGATTATATTAGATTAGATTAGATTATATTAGATTATATTATATTAGATATCATTGTATTATATTATATTATATATATATACTATATTATTGTGTATCTATATATATATATTATATATATACTTATATTGTATATATACTTATATTGTATATATATATGTGTGTGATCATCAGAAATCATCAGAAAGTGCGTTCGCAGCACTGTCTTCAAATACACAACTTAAGTCATCTCAAATCAACTTCATTCCGTATTGCCATGGCATTCAAGGGCATCTGGCTTCCATGAACGTCAACATGACAAAGAGGTGAGGATGGCTCAACAAACAAGGATTCCTTGTAAGCCCGAGCCACCGTCCAGATCTCTGCATTGAGCTGTGGTACTGCAGACGACCATACTGCCTGGCAGATCATGATATGTCCTTTAAAAAGGTGTCGCCAACATTCTCCACTTTCGATGGTCTATTTTGTGCTGGGAAAACCCGTTTTGGTTGGAGTATTTCCCCAACACTGGTTGGAGTATGATCTATGAGTATATACCACTGCCACCAATGGCCAGATGCTCACCTGGCACTGCCCTGTGGATTGGAGATGTTCATACAGAACTCCAGTGGCCTGATGCCTCAAAGCAGGGGATCAACGAGGATAAACTCGACAACAAGAACGCATTGGGAATTAGATAACAAATGGGATTTAACCAACCATATGGCGATAGATAGATAGGATAGTCTTGGCTAGGATAGAGTAGATAGAGTAGATACAGTAGATACAGTAAACAGAGTAGATAGAGTACATAGACTAGATAGGGTAGATACAGTAAATAGAGTAGATACAGTAGATACAGTAAATAGAGTAGATACAGTAGATTCTAGATACAGTAAATAGAGTAGATACAGTAAATACAGTAGATACAGTAAATAGAGTAGATACAGCAGATACAGTAGATACAGTAAATGGAGTAGATAGAGTAGATAGAGTACATAGAGTAGATAGAGTACATAGAGTAGATAGATAGAGTAGATAGAGTACATAGAGTAGATAGAGTACATAGAGTAGATAGAGTAAATAGATTAGATACGGTAGATACAGTAGATACAGTAAATAGAGTAGATAGAGTAGATAGAGTACGTAGAGTAGATACAGTAGATACCGTAAATAGAGTAGATAGAGTAGATAGAGTACATAGAGTAGATAGAGTAGATACAGTAGATAGAGTAGATACAGTAAATAGAGTGATAGAGTAAATAGAGTACATAGAGTAGATAGAGTAGGTACAGTAGACACACTAGATACCGTAGATACAGTAGATACAGTAGATACAGTAAATAGAGTAGATACAGTAGATGCAGTAGATACAGTAAGTAGATTAGATAGAGTAGATAGAGTAGATAGTGTAGATAGAGTAGATACAGTAGATACAGTAGATGCAGTAGATGCAGTAGATGCAGTTGATACAGTAGATACAGTAGATACAGTAAATAGAGTAGATAGAGTAGATAGAGTACATAGAGTAGATACAGTAGATGCAGTAAATGCAGTTGATTAGATTGGATCAGATCAGATCAGATCAGATCAGATTAGATAGATAGATAGGTAGAAAGATTAGTACTGTGGGGATACCCTCTGGGAACCAAAGAGGCATGAATTTGTTCTGCTGCCCAGTGAAAATCTCGCTGCCGCAAGCCCAATTGAGGGAGCGTGTCTTGGCGCTTCCGTGTGTGGTAGCCCCGCACACTGGTTGTGCGCTGTCCGACTTGAAATTCAAGCGACCAAGACGCAAGTTCCACCGAAGCAGGTTGCACAACAATCTAAACCTCTTTTGGATGCTGATTCATGTACTGGCAGTAGCTATCTTAAGAAAAGGTCTTAGAAAAGACCTGCATTCTAACATCTGATTGAGAAAATCAAAGCTGATTCTGGACATGTTTGCCTGAATTGTTGCCTTTGTGGTTGCCTTCATGGTCACAAAGGTCAGCATAGATGAAATCTGAGAGCTGCACCAAATGTACAAGTATCCACTCTCAGAGTGCAGGTAGTACCCCTGCACAAATTCTGTCCCATAGATTTGCAACCATTACATATTGCTGAGAATAGCAACTATCCTTTTTCAGTCTTGCAGTGGTCTCCAAATTAATAGAACACAAGCTTCTTCCAGGTTGTTATTATAGATGATATTGACCTCGCTTTTTCGAGGTCATTCATGTCTTCAATAATTTCTGTGGGTGCTGTCTGGAGTCTTGCTGTATGCGCAAATATATGATATATCGAATCCAATGGGAGAGTACCACCTTGAGTTCCTGATGTCGATCAGAGAGGCGATTACCAATCATTGCTTTCCAAAATGCACAGGAAGCACTCCAACAAGGTCATACGTGGGCTTTGTAAAAATCGCACAATTCCTCGAATCATCTCTAATCCATACTCAAGTGACTCAAGTGGCACTACCGTTCAAAGATGTTCAAAGTGCAAATGGATTCACAGCCCATTTTTCTCGTCCCAGCGACAGCCTGGCCTTCATGGTGGCACCATCGATCTTCCAACGATCTTTCGCATCTGCGAAAGCTTTGAACATGAGCCTTGGCAGAAGTGACATCCAGAATCATCCAAAAGCCCACTGAGCTGATCAATGGTGACAAGGATGGCGATAAAAGATGGAGCTGGCAGCTGGACTTTAGATTGAGCTTGCATGCTCAGGGATTTTGCTTGAGAATCCTTGACAGTTGATCTTCCAATATGCCAACATGGGCTCCGCCTCAACTCTTGTGCTGTAGGAGGTTGCACCTCCTGCGTGGGAGATGGCATTGGGGATGGCAACACATGCCTCTTGAAGCCAGATCAGCTCGGATTGCATGTACTACAGAGGGAAGGAGAGAGACACAGAGAGAGAGAGAGACCGACCGACCGACAGACAGACAGCCAGCCAGCCAGCCAGCCGCACGCAGGCAGACAGGCAGAAGGACGGACGGACAGACACAAAGACAGAGACAGAAAGAGAAAGAGACAGAAAGAAACAGAAAGAGACGGAAAGAGACAGAGAGAGAGAGAGAGAGAGGGAAACATATATCATAAATTATATGATACTGTATTCTCTGTGTATGTTGTGTATGTATATATATAGAGAGAGAGAGAGCGCGAGAGAGATCGTTTACCCCGTGTTTCGCAGCTTCAAGATGCTCTTTATCCATTTGGGGGTTGATGGGTGTGCTTGATCTGTCCTGTACCTCGGCCGTTGCGAAGATCTCGTCATTTGCCATCACCCTACAAGCTGCGCCGGAAGCCGCGGCACTCGAATCCTACGTCTGAGGATGATTCTATGGTTATCATGCTGGCGATGTGCTCCTACAGTAATGCCTAATCCTGAAGCAGTTGTTCAAGGTTGGGCAGGAAAGCACATAGCCCAGGCTAAAGATAATGTTCGTGGACACTGGCGAGAATGCCTTTCTTGTAGGATTTATTTTTTTGTCGTCAGCCATAAGTGCCAGTGTCAATACAACATAACAGTGCATCTCCCATTCAGCAACAAAACCGGTGTTGGGCAGCTCGCTCAAAACGAAACCGATTGTTTGCAAGTT